ACTTTTTGTCCAAGCTTTGTTGTGGGTAGGAAACTTGGTGCATGGCTGTACCCCTCCACTTCTGAGCACAGGGATGTTGTCCTATTTTATTTGAATATTTGTAGCATCGTCTCCCTCAGAACCTCTGAAACAAATCTGAGGGGTGAGATCCTGCTTTATGGGTAACTTGCAGATGTGTTGAAAAGGAACTCCAGGCATTTATTATTGGATTCATCTTGAAAAAAGTCTTGTATATGAACTCCACGTTACTCAAAAACAGTCTTGATAAATATGGTTCTCTAATGTGCGTTAAGTTTTCAAGATCCATATTTGGGAAAACAGAAATGGTTCAGATGATGGATGTAACCATTCATTCTCATGGACTTTCTGTTACTTGGGTATTTTAAAGCTATCTTAGCTGAGCTGAGTAGAAGGACCCCATCATAATGGACCTGTTTGTTCTTTCCTTTTGGTCTTACTGCTTTTTTTTTTTTTCCTCTAGTCCTTCATCTCTGTTCTCGTGTCTCTACAGGGCAATCCCTGACTACCTCCCATGTAGTGTGGCACCCCTACTACTAAAGCACTGGCAATTTAGCTCAGTGTGAGGTAGAGGGAGGTTTTTTGTTTGTCTTTTTGTTTGTTTGTTTTATACACACTGGAAGGGAAGGCAGCTAGGACATCAGCTAATGCTGTAGAAGTTCACACCTATTTTTTCAGTGGCCTTATAGTTTTTAGAGTAGTTAAAACAGAATCCCAAGATTGAGAAGATGTAGATACTTCAGCAGTGAAAATAACTTGGAAGTCATGTTCATTCAACTGTTAGGACACAGGTTTGTCTCCTAAACCTGACTAAGGACAGGGCACATACTAACAAATCGATTTGTGTATCAGTGACAGGAAAAAAAAGAAAGGTGTGATGCTACCTCTTTAAGTGGTGCTTATCATCCTTCTTTAGTCCTCACATTGCCAGTTAAGTCCAGGAGCACTTACCACTTGCTGCTTTTCAGTCTGCTTGACTATTGTAATGTTGCAGTGTAAGCAAATTAACAGCAGCATAGTGGCTTATAATGTTTTTGCCATGCCTGAGCGAACATTTCTAATAGTTGATCTGTGTTACTATGACAGTTTGCTAGTCTGTTTTCTTATTAGGATATTTCTGGAAAAATGAATGACTTCTCATTGTAATTAGTGATGAGCTCTTGCCTTAGTTCTTGTTAGTGCCTTTCTTAAGTACTAAATACCTCATGGTCATGAAAGAATGATATGAGAAAGCTGAAAGAAAGAGAGGGAAGAGTAAGAAAGTTACAGTTTCCACAGAATTATTTTTACTTAAAGTTGTTTTTTCTCTTGTAGCTTTTATTGGCAAAGGTACATTTATATGTGTTTATGCACACTGTGTGTGTCTGAGCTCTTAGCAAGAGAAAAAGGAAGCTGTTCTCCTGTTTAATACAACTAGTAGTACTTCAGCTGAGTTAATTTAAACTTCCATACTGGGTGAGCATCATGTCCTGCGAGGATAATGGAATAACAAAAAGTCTCAGAGTAAAGATTGGTTAGCTGAAGTTGTAAATATTGTATGTTTTACATACTACCTTATGTTTGCATCTGAATGTTTTAGCAAATCTAAAATTGCTGTATCGTGTGTTGCCAAATGAAAGTACAAGTGATGTAATTGTACTGCAGCTTTGGAGGTCAATAGCGGCAAATTAGTGACTGATTCTATAACACTCTTTATCCTGTAGACGTAAGGTAACTCACATTTGTGTGAAGAAATAATCAGTATAAATGTTCGTCATCAAGTTATCCACACATCTATGATTTAGGTTCAGTTCTTTTTTTGTCTTTTTAGTTAATGTGGTTAGGGCCATTATTTTCTCTTTCCAGTGTCAGCCTTCATCCAAATAATTCTGGATGGCTTCTAAGACTTTTTTTTAATGGTCTCAGTGTTAAGGAACTGGTTGCATTATGGTAATATGCATTACATTGCATTTGGGTATGCTCAGCTGGGAAATAAATGGAAGATATTTTCATCTAATATTGAAAATGAGAACAAAATTTTAAATATGAGGAAGTAATTATAGACATTCAAAGGGGCTATAAGAATTAGTTTAAAGATTATGCAAAACAAAAGGGCTATAAAAGTCACTTTTGCATAACTTTTCTGTTTGTGCAAGGGACTGGGGCCAGGAAAACAGACAGCCAACCTCAGATAACTGGGTGGTATGGGAGAACGTTAATGATACTGAGTGTATGAAGGACTAGCAAATGCATTGATATCCCTTGGCTGTATACCTTCTTCTTTACCTCTCACTGAAACAATACTGTCTTTGGTTTGTTCCATATTCCTCCTATAGTTCTTTGAACACCCAGTGTAGGAGAACACGTTCTGGCAGATGGGCTTCAAGAAACCTTAACTTCACAGCGGAAGAATACAAATCTGCTACTGAAAGCAGCTGGCCCTGAGTGCTGTCACTGCCAAGAATTAGAAATCTTACTAAGAGTTCACATGTACTTGTTTATAATGAGGCCAGATTGAAACCCTTTGACTGTGATTACCCCATGTCCTAATTTCTTCTTTTGCTTTTATTTTTGGCAGAAAAATGTATTAAGAGTTTGCCTCTTACTTAAAGGGAGATGATGGCAGGGACAAAAGACATGTTTATTCATGTCCTAGAAATGGGAGAAAGCAAAATAAATAAATAAATAAACCTACAGTTATACCCAACTTCAAATTTCAGTAGTTCATGTCTTTGGGAGTTGATGGAAACATTCCCTGAAGTATACAGAAATCTATTTATCAATTAAGTGGAGTTAAATTCAAAGTAAAAACCATCTTAGTAATACTAAAATATTTATAGATTTCTGTGCAATACTGCCTAGAATCAAAGAACAATTTCTAGTGGAAAGGACCTTAAAGATAACCCAGTTCCAACCCCTTTGCAATGGTCAGGGATGTGTCTCACTAGATCAGGTTGCTCAAAGCCCCATCCAGTCTGGCCTTGAGCACTTCCAGATGGGGTATCCACAGCTTCTCCATACAACCTGTTCCAGTGCTTCATCACCCACTGAGTGAAGAATTTCTTCCTTATATCTAACTTAAATCTTGCCTCTTTTAGTTTAAAATCACTACTCCTTGTCCTATCACTACAGGCCCTTGTCAAAATTCTGTCTTTCTTACAATACTCCTTTAATTATGAAAAGACCACAATGAGGTCTGCCTGTAGCCTTCATTTCTCCAGTCTGAACAACCCCAACTCCCCTCAACCTGTCCTCACAGGACAGGTGCTCCAGCCCTCTGATCATCTTTGTGGCCCTTCTGTGGACCCACTCCAACAGCTCCGTGTCCGTCTTGTGCTGGGGACCCCAGACCTGGATGCAGGACTCCAGGTGGGGTCTCATGAGAGCAAAGCAGAGGGGCAGAGTGATTTTCCTTTACCCTGCTGGCCATGCTGCTTTTGATGTTCCTCAGTATATGGTTGGCTTTCTGGGCTGCAAGCTCATGTGGCTGGCCGATGTTGAGCTCTTCATTTGCTGTCGTTCCCAGGTTCCTCCCCATGTGGTTGCTTTCCATCCATTTATCCTCTGGTCTGTACTAATTTTTGGGATTGCCCTGATCAAAGTTGTGGGCCTTCATGATTTGGTAAACTCTGTGAGGTTCATCTGGGCCCACTTCTCAAGCCTGTCCAGGTCACTCTGGATGGTATCCTTTCCTTCTGTCATGTCAACTGCACTGTTCAGCTTGGTGTTGCCTGAAAACTTGCAGAGGACGTGCTCAATCCCACTGTTTTGTGTCATTGGTAGTGGATTATATTAAATAGTACTGGTCATAAGATGGACCCATGAGAGACATGACTTGTTGCTGATTTCCACGTGGACACTGAGCTGTTGACCACAGTGGTCTGGCTGCAGCCATTCAGCCAGTTCCTTATCCACCGAGTAGTGCTGCCTTCAAAGCTTCAATTTAAAGAGAAGGATTTCATGGGTGACCATGTCAAAGGCCTTGCAGAAGTCTGGGTAGATGACTTTGGTTGGTCTTCCCTTGTCAACTGACTTATCTGACTGCCAGGACTTTTCAAATATGCTGGAGAGAGGCATGGCAACTCTAACAGTCACCTCCCTCAGGACTCTGAGATGCATGTCATCAGACCCCCTAGGCTTGTGCCTGTTCAATTTCATCAGGTGGTCAAGAGGTAGTCTTCCTTTTCTGGCTAATGTGCCCATAGAATCCCTTCTTAGGATTCTCTGCATCCCTTGCCATGTTCAACTCCAGCTGTGCCTTGGCTTTCTTTATCTCTTCCTTACCAGCCTGGGCAGCATCCCGATGGTACTCCTAGGCCACATATCTTGATAGTGATCATGAAGAAAAGTATGTTTAACGTTTGAAAGTAACTTTTCAGTTACATAATTTTATTTGCTAAACAGTTAACTTTGAACAATGTTTGTTACACATACTTAGTGTTTCTGTGAAAACATTGAGGTGTAAAGTTTTTAAAGAGTGAGGGTTTCAGAAAAATTATAATGTTCCTGATCCTAGTTAATGTCAGTTTTAGAGCAATCACCTTGAATTAGCCATTTCAGTTTCAGATTATGGCCATAAGATGTATTTGAAAAACCAGAGTATTAAAAGACTTGAGAAGATAAGCACTCAGTTTCACACTTTCTGCAGTGTGCAGTGAAATGAGATGAAGTTTTACACGTGTATCAGTGGCAGCTTAGTGGGATAGGTGGAAGGTGATAGGAGGGGAAGGAAGTGGATGGGACAGGGCCGAATGTATGTTTAGAGGTGTCTTTATCTGACTGTACAGCTAGGTGTCCATTTTCCCTGCAGAAGGCTTACATTTTGCTTGTGTATGTATGTTAATGCTCTTTATTTGCTGTTTGCAGCAACAAAAAAAGTTATTGGGGAAAAATACTGAGCAAAGTGAAACACAAATATCTCAGTCGGCACAACTGTTAGATAATGTTATTGCATATAAGTTACTTCCCTATCAAATTAATGACTTTTACTTTCTGTTCTTCAGGGAACAACCCATCTTCAGCACCCGAGCTCATGTCTTCCAGATTGACCCAAACACTAAGAAGAACTGGGTTCCCACCAGCAAGCATGCTGTTACTGTGTCCTACTTCTATGACAGCACAAGAAATGTCTACAGGATAATCAGTTTGGATGGCTCCAAGGTAGATTTTATTTTGGAGAACTTGCATGCTGATTGATTTTTGTAATTTTCTAGTCTGACATCCTTCATGTATCTTCCTAGATAATTCTAGCATTAGTGATGTGCTAAAATTGTTATATTGTTTCACTAGATGTTTTCAGTGTTCACCGAAAAAGTGTTTTACTTGTGTTCGTATTTATTTTGATAAAGCTGTTGCTGAAGTTAACGATGACCTGCTACTTAGTTAATATTGAGCTGTCTAAAAAAAACATTCCCCATGAGGTGTAGTAAAAAGCACAGGGTGTTACAATAAGCTCTTTCTATTTCGCTGTCAATATCATTGGCTTCAGCATTATGAAAGAGATCTGTTCAGTGCCTGTAATCTCTTAGTAGATACTTCTTTGTTACCTAGTCTTCAATTTTTAGAAGTATAGAATGTGACTTTCCATAGTAAGCTTTTATAAAAACTCGTTTGGGTTGGCTTTTAGGTGGGGGTTATCTTTTTTTTTAAGTTAGGAAAAATAATGTGTTGAGCTGCTGTTGTAAGAAATATTAATGTAATAATTTAGAGGACTTGGGGAAAAAGCTTGACTGTTGCATAGGTTCTACCCAAGTGGGTATAAGAACAGTAGCTTTACAAGCATTATGTCAGAAGCTTCAGCAATAAGATCACTAGATATACAAAGTGTAATGGAAAGCTGTAATTCTTTCAAGGTACATCACTTACAGCTTCTGGGGATGTGTCAATTCATGATGGTTGGAACTAAAACACTGGTAAAGCATAGTAGTATTCACAGAGATTTCTTGGCTATTTGTTGAAAGCTGAACAGCATTACTCTGCATTTTTAAGAATATCTAGAGTATTTCTATTTTAGTTGAGGAAAGAATTTCTATCATACAGAAGTTTGTAGGAGTTTTTTGTCAAAGATCACTTATGAATACCTCTTTTGGTGACTGAGACTGCCATAAAAGTTTAGCAAAATGTCTCAGAGTTTAATTCATACTTTTTCTTCCTTTCCCAGCCTTCTTTCCAATGATTATTCATTCTGTCAGATAATTAAAAATACCTTCTGTGTGACCATTTAGAAAATAGTTTTGGACTGGGGCTAGATGCTGTATGAAATGGAGGCTGCTAGTTGTAATCTGAAGCACCTAAGCTGATCTGCACAGTTTACAAAACCCTTCTGATATCCACTGGAGTCCCTTTGCCTTTGTCTAAAGCCACACTTCTTGCAACATGACTGCTGAGTTTTTGTTTACTTGCTCTTTTTCTACTGCAGCATTTCTTTATATGTACAGTACTATTGGCAAAGTGTATTGATAATGCGGTCTGTCACTTAATTTACTCTCTGATCGCTGCATTGTTAATAATGTTTTCATCCTAAGTGTTATGTATCTGACTAAAATCGAGGATCACAATCATGATTCAGACCCATTGTTTTAGCTATCACAACACTGCTCTGAAACATACACAGATGAATAGCAGGGGCACCTGTGGAAGAACTTTTAAGAGGTTTGCAGCACAATTCCCAGTGATTTTTTTAATTTCTAATTATGGTCTTATATTTTTAATATGTGTATATCTGTGCATATAAAATGTATGTATGAAGAGCTAAATATAAATATAAAGCATTCGTGATTGTGATATATAGCATACATGTAGTTGTATGGCAGTAACACTACAAGTTTCTGAGCCTATAATGCCTTATATTGTCGGTCACACAAGTGTGAAACTGGCAAAGGATTAAGAAAATGTAAATTAATTCTCCATCTTTGATTTTTGAATTGAAATTGTATAAAGATTTTTTTCTTAATTTACATTGAAAATGTCTCAAACTTACATGTTGTCAGCTGCCAGAAACACTTGTCAAACTATGTTGGTTTTGCAGCGCTCATCCCTCAAGGGGATTAAATAGATTATCCAACATGATTTTCTTGGAAGACATAGTACTGTCGAGGTTTATAGCACCTTATGGGTTTGTATGTTGGAGAGAATGAAGTACATGTGGTTGCTCAGCTCCAGTGGGTTAGGTGCTGAGCAGTTATTCAACAAGTGATAGCAACTGAAATGCATGTCCATCTAGACTGTAGAAAGGAAAGTTTGCAAGAGAAAGATACTTGATTTGAGTGATAATCCTACTTCTGCCATCCCTGTCTCTTTCTGCTCTTTAGGTCCTTCCTCTTCCCTTAGGGTAACTGAAAGAGCATTAGCAAAACTTCACCCTCTGCAAAACCCTCTGCAGCTCTTAAGGAGCATAAGCATTTTTAAGAATATCTAGAGTTATATCTCAGACTGCTTATCCTGCCAGAAGCTGGATGTTTCAAATCAGAGTGCAGAGATACCTTCTCTGAGAACTATTTTCCATACCTGTTTTTAATTGACTTTGTTTTTCTGAATTACTAACTGGGACGATTCTTTGATTGTATTCTCAGAGTACCTTGAAACAAGGAAGTTTTGGTGCTGCTTTGAAGGGAAAAAATACATGAGGCACATAATTTCTTTATTTTTTCTCAGTTTCAGTAGGTTTGCTGGATAAAACTTAACTTCTGTACTGACTGACAGAACATGATTAAATATTTCTGCTTGAAAACATGATGTTTGTAAGACGTGATCTTTACTCACCTCTGAGAAATTCTACCATACATCTCAGATATCCACTTGAATTTGCTTGTGGAGATCCTTGGTGTGTTTTGTGAGAGGATTTTTTTTCCTTATTCCATATCAATTGCTATGTGAGCCAGATTCAACTGAGATAGGTCCTACAGAAACAAGTTCTATTTATTTTTTTCACAGATACAGTAAATAAATGTATCATATAAACTGGGTGAAGCAGCAGCCAAGCATAACTCACCCAAACAACTTTATTCCTTCTCAAAATTGTGTGAAATCAATCATTTTTAGCTTGTAAATTAATGCTTATGTAAAACAAAGCATAGCTGGGCAAATAATTGGGTTAATGCTTCCTGTGGATGCTAGTATTTAGGTAGACTTAACTGTTCCTTTATGAGTCCTTTGAGGAGTAATTCCACAGGATGTTTTATTATTCAGTCTACATAGGTTATGCACTTTTAAAGCCTGTTCACTGATGTCCTGCTTCTGTGTAATCTTGTTTTCTGGAGATACTGTCTTCTCTTAAAATACCTCATACAAGAAATAATGCATCTCCCTCTGACTTGCCTCTGGTAAGCACTCTAGTACCATAGTGTTCAGTAAACAGGCCATGTTTTATAGTTGCATTCAGTATCTGGATCTCTGACACTGATGTCAGGGATATCCTGATGCAAGTAATCTGATAGAATTTAAGGCTGATTTGTGTGACCTCAAGTAAATGTCTTTTATGCAACCTTTTCCTCATACAATCAAAGAATCAAGAAGAAGCCTGAAAAATGAAATCTCTTATGCAACACAACATGACAACATCGAGAAGCTGTTGCTAAGGCTTTCAGATCTCATTAATTATATAGTCACTTCATATCTTCCTGTGTCTTAGTGTTTTGTTTTTCTTTTTTTCTCGTAGGTTGTAGAAGGATGCCTCCATTATTTCTCCAGTAACAATGCAGAGATTATTCCCATAACCCCTCTGTCTTTTCCATTCAGTCTCTTGCAGTCACTAAGAAAGGAAAATGAGTGGTTCCTACAGAACTAGTTAACATTGTGATACTGTTTTCACAGATGCAAAATTAGAAAAAATACAGTAATTTGTGCTAATCTAAAACAAAAGATGACTCTCTAAAATAGTAGTCCATAGATTCTATAAGCTATGCATGTGATATTTCTGAGTCAAGTTGGCCTTCAGTGTTATTGCAATAAGTGATCTTTACATTTTAGAGACTTTAAAATAAGCTAAAGTCAGATTAAATTGATAATCTCTCTAATGATAAATTCAGGTTTAAAGTAAGACCTATTAGCCTAGGTCTTCAGTGATGGTTTTGAAGAACTTCAAAGGTGCTTTGTGTTTTAACTATTATTGGCATCATCTTTAGCACAAGATAAAATCATACTTGACTGCCGCCGCTGCTGCTGTTTTTCTTGCAGGTGTTGGGTTTGCTGTCAGTAAAATGAACAGCTTAGTTAGACACATGCCCTATTTTCTCATAGCTAAACTCATTTGAAAGGAAAACATGAAAGCTATTTTGTTATTCCAACCAAATCTAAAGATAACAAAATCAGTTTTCTTCAAAAGCTAAATGTCTGCCTGTCAGATTGACTCTGTTCTGTTTTAAGATATCCTTGTACATTTAGACTAACAACATTCTTAAAAGATTGATGAAATATTTGACATTTGTTATATTGGTGACTGTACAGTGAAATCTCATGGCATAGAGGAGAGCAGTTAAAAACAGTACCTATTTAAGTAGACAAGACAGGTTTGATTATAAATGATAATTTAAAAATTGAGTTTTTTTTAAGCTGAAGGTTTGAGGGAGTCAAATCTAGTATTTCCAGAAGAGGCTAACAAAAGCTGTATCTGTAGAACGCTCTAGCATGCACACTTCAGGCGTAATTCATTTAGCATAAGAGATTGAGCACAGCAATGCTTTTAATTCAGAAAGAACTGAAAGCCTTGATTTTCTTTTAAATTTGGTGTTTCTAATGAAAGGATTTGTCTTTATATCAGTGGGATCTGAGTGTAATCTTCCCAGCGATAAACTTGCTATCTGCAGACTAATGCTGTCTGCTGGAGTGGAGCGTCCTTATTTTTCTCTGTTGGAAGACAAAGGGCAGAATAACAGCAACTCCTTCTCAGTGCAGTTATTTTTTTCTGAAGTTTTTCTTCCTACCAAAAGGAAGGAGGCAAGTTAGGTAACCCAACCTAGATGCAGACTGCTGTCAGAACCAATATCACATCCTGGTCTATGCAGCCTGTTCCTGGATTTTCTTCTGTGTAGCCAACCCTGTGGTCAGCTGAAGCAGTGAGCAGCATCAGCTGAAAACTGGTTGGTTCTTCCAAGGTTTTCCATTAGGTTAGTTTGCAGTCACTATATCAGATTCCAGTCCTCAGGCTTTCAACCTGCCTGTTGCTTGCAGGTTCTTGTGAGTTTACTCACATTGCTCTTCACCACTTCATCTGATAATCAGCATATATGCTTGGAAGCTCTTTGTAAGCTTTGCTAGCACTTCAGCTGATAATTTTTCAGGGTTGGCCTGTAGAATTCAGACAAAATTTGATGTGGATGGTGGCTGTTCACCTGGGTCCACTTTTCAAGCTTGTCCAGGTCCCTTTGGATTTTATCCCTTCTTCTTGTTGTATGGACTGCAACACTCAGCTTGGTGTTGCCTGAAAACTTGCTGAGGATGTACTTGATCCCACTGTAAGTGTCATTGGTGAAGACAGTAAACAGCACATGTGCCAAGACAGATTCCTGAGAGACACGACTTGTCACTGATTTCCACATGGACATTGAGCTGTTGACCACAATTGTCTGGCTGTGACCATCCAGCCAGTTCCTTATCCACCGAGTAGTGCTGCCTTCAAGCCTTTCGTTCTTCAATTTAAAGAGAAGGATTTCATGGGTGACCATGTCAAAGGCCTTGCAGAAGTCTGGGTAGATGACTTTGGTTGGTCTTCCCTTGTCAACTGCTGCAGTCACTCCATCCCAGAAGGCCACCACATTGGTTGGGCACAATTTACCCTTGGTGAAGCTGTGCTGGATGTCTTGGAGCAGCTCCTTGTCCTGCGTGTGCCTGAACATTGCTTCCAGGAGGCTCTGTTCCATGTTCTTTCCAGGCACAGAGGTGAGGCAGACTAGTCATTACTACCGCAGCTCTTCCTTCTACCTGTTTTAAATACAGGAGTGATATTTCCCTTTTTCCAGTCACTGGGACTTATCTGACTGCCAGGACTTTTCAAATGTGCTGGAGAGAGGCAGTTCCCTTAGGACCCTGCGATACATGTCATCAAGCCCCATAGACTTGTACCTGGTCTGCTTCATCAGGTGGTTTCGAACCTGCTTTTTGCTAACATAAAGAAAGATTTTCTTCTATATTGTTTTCTGCTCACAGTATATATAATTTTCCATGAAGTTTTAAGGATGTTCTTTATAAAAAAAATTTCTCTCATGTCATTATTAAAAAGCACATGCTGACCTATGCTTTTATGAAAAGGGATGTTATTTGTTTCACAAATATAGTTGAAACTTTTGATAGTGCCAGATGCATAGAAAGCATACGTCCATTTCACTTTAATATGCATGTCTTTGGCTTTATGACTAGTCTTTCTTATTTACATTGGTTATAAACTGTGGTAACTGTCAGTACTTTAGTTAAATTGAACTCATTGGTGTCATTATAAGACTATCCAGGCATACTTTCAAGTCAACTGTTCAAATAGTTCCATATAACAGATTTCAAATGTTAGACGAAGTTTATTGTGATGGAAATACTGTTGAAATCGATGGTTAAACTTCAGCTGGCTTTAGTGGAAACAGCATATCATCTAAAAGTTGTATTTTTCTTTACACGAGAATAAATTTTATGTTGGAACATGTGTGTGTCTTCCATCCTGTACATAAGAACGAGAGGAGAAAAATATGAAGTAGTAGCTCTTCTTCTGTAGTTGTATGACCCTGTCATGGTTAGCCATGTTTGTGTGTGTGTGTGCAGAGAAGAAACAGGTTCTTACAATACAAAAGCTTAAAAAGAAATTGTGCTTCTTGATTAACTGCATGTTTACTGGTGAGAGTTGTATTTGCAATAGTGGGGATTACAACAGATGAACTTCAGAGGCCTTACCTTAGGGAACAAGGACACACACCAGTGAGACAAAACAAAAAAAGAAAACAAAAACTTTGCTAGTTCTTTTCTTCAGATCGCCTTAGCCTATGTGGATGCTTTAATGGGCTCTTTTTAGACTTATTAAATCACTACTTGTAGTTGCAAACAAGTACCCCCCCAGCTTTTGCTCGTCTTTTTCAGAAAGTATGCCAATATGTTTTCATAGTTTTAGCTGTGATTGAATTAGAAGACAGTTCCCTAGTTGCTAGTTTGTTTCATTCAATGTACACAGAAAATTGACTACAGTGTTGGTAGTTTCAGTTACAAGTAGTCTTCAAAAAAAAAAAAACAACCAACTGAAGCAAACAAAAGGAAAACACTTTTTTTAAACTTTTACTTTTTTTTCAGGCAATAATAAATAGCACTATCACCCCCAACATGACATTTACTAAAACATCCCAGAAGTTTGGCCAATGGGCAGACAGCAGAGCGAATACAGTCTATGGCTTGGGATTTTCATCTGAGCATCATCTGTCAAAAGTAAGTGTGACCAATGGAAACTATTTGGCCAATCAAACAGCTTAAAAATATTTGTTTCCTTCTCGTTGTATCTTGACTAACTGTTGTTATTTACAAATAATTTACAAAATCTGTATCTGTGCTTATAATGTAAAAGACAAGACGGGTCATGATGGCAATATGTTTTTAACACTTTGATACCTGTGAATTTTTTAACTGATTGAGAAAAGGAAGGAGATTAAAGCTATCACACTGTATGCTGTCTGTGACTTCTAATTATTAGTTAGATTTCTCAATTTTAAAGTTTTTCTTCTGTTACAGTTTTTCATGACAGAGTTTAAAAGAGTAGACAATTTAGTGTTTCTTCTATATTGAGATAGTCCAGGAAAAAAAAGTTGTTGATAATCTTCAGATGCACTTTTGTCTTTGAAGCCACATTTGTCTTTTCTGTTATGTAGTGCATCTTGTTGCCAATATTTCAACATCTGTAGGCTTAAGGTAAAGCTAGTGGGAAAACTATTCCATGTAAAATAAAAATACAGTTTCTTGTTGGAATACAAATTTCTTGTTGAAATATTTAGTAAAGAAGCTGAGCCCATTATGGCTTTTCTTTATCTGGTCTAGTTATGCAGGAGAGTAGTCAGCCTTAATCCAAGGAAAGCAGTAACCCCCTTTGAGTTTTTCTCAAAGTGGTGGTATAGTTCCTGTGAGTGCTAATTCTACAATACCTCTTGCTATTGATACCTACTTTAGTAGGTAAGTCCATGAACATGTACAACATCATCTTTCTCTAGATAAGGACTTTCCATTTAAGAACATATAAGAAGAAATAAGAAGAAAGTTTTACCAAAATATACCAAAGATCTGGAAACCCAAATGCAATAAAAAGGAGTGGTAGTACATGTTCAAGTAAGGAATAACGGTTGGCCTGTTTCAAAAACAATAACAAAAATCAACCACACACACACACAAAAAAAAAAACAACAGACCTGCCCACTTTAGAAAATAGTTGTCACTTTCCAAGGGGTAAGCATGGGCCTGCTAAAAAAAAAAAATAAATCATTAAAAAGAAAACCAGTACATCTCCTTTGTTTGGACAACCTGATATGCTTATAGGGTTTCTTCATTTCACAATCAGAGAGCTTTCATTACTATGAAGAACCACAAATCCACACAATTCTGAGCGATATTAATGTATTAATGCTGTATATATGCGTGTGCATTTGTGTATATTATTACCTCAGTGAACTTAGAAACTTTCTCATTTATTTAAATTGGTCTGTATGTCCTAGAAGCACAAGCTCACCAATCTGGTTATAACTCTTGCTAATATTTCAAAGAATCTAGCCTAATAATTTGAAAAGCTACAGTAGATATTTTGTCAAATGACATGTTTGATTAGCAGTTACTCAGATTGTTATGATTCATGAAGAATACACAAATCTGTTGAGAAAAATAACAAGTCACCGACCTATTCGGAAGATGAATCCTCAGGACATTTTCAGGAAATTGTAGTATACTATATCAGAATTACAAACTATGATTTTGATTGTAGTAGAAGTTGCTGATCATTACTACTTAATTTAAGAGGTGAAATTTTTCATATTCATGTTGTAAAATTAATGAAGATGTATTTGAGGAAAACCAAACCGATTTAGATCATAATCTGTTTAATCACAGGAGCTGGTAGCTGTACTGGTCTTGGAATCAGAAAAGCTGAATTAGAAACCCTGAATCTGCTATGTAGTTTCAGAGAAATCACATCTATCTTTCCTTTCTTGTCTGTCTGCTCGAGTTACCAACTCTCATTTCTATGCAATGACATTGTAGTCGTGTTCACCAGAGCACTCTTTCATACGCCTACTACTGTAGGACATGAAATCTAATTAAAGGCTAGAGGTACTACTGAATGGTAGTAATGGTGCTAACAAACTGTATCAATGGTTTTACTCAGAAACAGGTTGCTTCTAGAAATAGCCTTAAAATTGATCCTGGAACGTTTTTCTGTATTTGTTTTGAAGTCTCAAAGTGAACAGCCCTGTTATATGTAATTTGTTTTACAGTAGTGTTTCTGGGCCCCAGAGAAATATTAAAAGTTCCAGGGAGCCAACAACCACAAAACACTTAGACTAGTCTGTGAGTGATTTCAGAACACTAGTGAAACATAATCAGGACTTGTAGTAAAATATTTATTATCATATATCAATATTATCAATATATCATTGTCTGCTTAGCTGTGTCTCTCTAAACAAGCAGATCACCTTCCAAAGCTCATACTAAAGCTCATACTGAGTATCTGACTTCTGGACTACTTGGTTCATGTACCTTTGTCCTCATAAACTGATTACTAGTGTAGAGTGCGACAATGGTAGGCTCTTTCTGTATGATAGTTGTGACTGAGAATATTTGATGGAAAGGTAAGGCATAGTTACCAATTCCTTACGTACAAACAGAATAAAAGAAAAATAATTAAACATTTGTTTATCTTCACTAGACCTTTTCTCAGTATGTCAGAACACAAATTCACTTCAAGATTGTTCTGTCAGAAGTCAGGCAGAAGTCAATGGTACTTGAAAGATGATCTCTGTCTTGGAGTATTCTCTTCAGAGTAGTACGGTAGTACTGCACTTATTACAGTCCCTCTTGCTGGTGTAGTAGGAGCAGAATGTCTCGTGATATTCAGTGAAAATGGAAGCTCATTTCTCAACCAAAATTTAAGTAATATGAAAGATAATATATATAAAATAAAACTTTATATAATTTAATAATCATTTAATATATACAATTATTTAATTAATCACTAAAATTAAAATTTATATAAGTGTTTGTATAAAATATAAGTAATAAAATAAAGTACCAAAATATTTTGATAGTCTTGATAGTATTCTGTATGGGAAGAAATACTCCTTAGATTTGCTGTCTCTTATCCCTTTGAACTAGTTGACCTTGTTTATTCTGAGTAATTTAAGAGTATGTTATATGGCAAAAGTGTCATAATGGGTATTCTCCTTCCACAATTTTTCATCTTTTCCTTAGATTATTAATTCTCCAGAGTAGCCTTATTTTCATACCGTAAGATCTCATCTTTGTTAATTACGGATTGTTTCAAGAAATTGCTATAATACGTCACATGAATGTATCAAGGAATTCTAGTAAATTTATGAAAAATTCCTCTACATTAGCCTTGTTGCCTCTTTCTCAGAATATTTAATGCGTATTTGTTTGTTTGCTGTAGTTGTTTTGTTTTTTTTTACAGTTTCTACCTTCTTCTGTGATACAGAAGATCATATTTATTGCCTAGTGTTTCTTCAGTCCTGTGTTCTAGACATCAGTGGTGTCATGTTTTCTACTTATCAGTCCTCTGTTCCTCAAATCTATTTAAATAATAGGCTACCTGTGAGATTTTGAGGTCTATCTCTGAGTCCTAAATGAGTATCGTATAGATCTGGGGATCTGTTGCCAGTTCTATCATCTATTCTAAGACCTCTTTTGATGCTGGATTAGTATTTCAGCGTGGCATTTGTCTCCTTCTGTATTCAGGAAGCGTATACTTTTAAATAATCTGCCAGCTGAAATACAGGATTCAGGAAGAGAAAAATGATACTTCCTCAAGTACTAATAGCACACCAGGAGAAGTTTAAAGACAATAAGATTTTTTGTATCTTGGATAACAAGTGAAATTCTGATTGAAAATAGTTGAGAAGATTGTGTCACACAAAAGTAGCCTTCATCTTTCTAAATGCATGCAGTGCAAAACAGCTTCTTTGTATGCTGTTGCTGGAGAAGTTTAAAAGCTATTGATGAAGGTCTCCAGTGTTTCTGCAAAATTATTTCAGTCTTTAGTTGATTGTAGTAAGATCATATTCTGTACAAAAGTGGTAGCAAGTGAAAATGAGCGCTTGGCTGCTACAGCAATTGGTGTAATGTAAAGCTGAGACCAATGGAGCCAAAGTTTTTTCTGGCCAGAGAATCTAGGCTAAAATTGATTTAACTCTGGAACTTAAGTCTGCACGTATTTCTAAACTGTTGCTTTACAAGTACATGTAGCAGAGAAATCAAGCTTCACATGACAGTTACTACAAGAAATGAACCTGACTAAGTATTCCCACTGCTGATTTCTTAGTTTGCTATTGGAATTATGAATGTTAAAATTTGGGGAAAAATTAGTATTTTTTCAGTTAGGAAAGAATGGAGCTTTTTGAAGTGAGTAGTGACCACAGTAGGCTTCAGAACCCAATCATTCATTGTGAGGAAGAGAGTAAAATCTTAATCTGAAAGCCAATGTGTAAGTCAGTTTTACCACTATTACTAGCCATACCTGAAAGTCTTTTTCTTTTTAACACTGTCAGCAACAGATGAAACTTTGTTAAATCTCAATTTTCCTGCTATGTAAATGGAGTATGTTATGTCTGAAAGGTACTGGAAGGTATGTCACTGTGTAACTTGCTCAGATAAGTATCTAATAAGGAGAAAAATTAACAAGTTCCACTGACAGAATTTTATGTTGTAAAATGTTAAGTACAGCGTTCTGTTCTGCATGTAAAGTAACTACTTCACGCCTACAATCTCTCTCTCTCTCTCTCCCTTTTAAACTTATGTACCTTCAGTTTGCGGAAAAATTTCAGGAATTCAAAGAAGCTGCGCGGCTGGCAAAAGAAAAATCCCAAGAAAAGATGGAGCTAACAAGTACACCTTCCCAAGTGAGTCTTACTGCTTGATTCAAGCCTAGTACTTTAAAGTCTATGCTACTTAACTGTTCTTAACTGTTTTAAGAATTTGTATTGTATCTTACACACACATGTTGTACTAAAAAATGATCAAGGTATTGCCCAGTTACTCTGAATCCTCTCAATTGCTCCCTGCAAAGTCCAGAAGGCTGTGTGTGGGTAAGAGATGGGGAGGGGACACAGCCAGGATAACTGACCTGAAATTACCAAAGGGATGTCCCATACCATGTTAAGGGTGGATTATTTATTTGCTTATTTAGGGAGAAAAATAGGCCTCATGTTTTTTCCTATTCCTTTCTTTGAGGTTTCCCTAGAAAACAATAAAGATAGTGAGCGGTTACGTAAGCAAATCTATAGTGAAGACCTCTTGTGTCTTTTTCTATTATATCTGTGAAACTTAAGTTGATACATTGTAAAGAACTTAATATAAGAATCATAAAAACAAAAATCAAAGCCAAACCAGCAAACTATTTTTGCTTATTCCCTACTGTGTGGTACCCATTTGTGAAATGTGTTAAAGGGAGATGACAGTCACATGCGACTTTTATTACATTTAGCTACGTTGTAAAACAAGAGTCCAAAAAAGACATCTTAAAACATACAAACTGGTCTAATATAGGCCCAACAGGAAGTTAACTTAATATAATGTAATCATACTGACATTAGTCATGTATAAAATTAATTTACTTGAAAATGGATGCTTTGAATTTGCTTTGAAAAAAAAAGTAATTTTATGAGGAATTTATGGCTCTCTCTTCCAGCGTTTCTGGCTCTGTGTGTAGCCATGTTTTATTTTAAGTGATAGTAAAGACAAAGGTAATTCCTGCTTTTGGAGAATGAAGCAGCTTTAAAACTTCAGTAGGGACTCCTGAGTTGAGTAGGATTAATGTAGCTGAGTCTTTTTTTTTTTTTTCTGGGGAGTGCATCTTCGTTCATTGAATCAGTGCATCTCTTGGGTGCTTTGCACTACATTATGCTTTGATGGAAGAAGGATGGCAGGCAGTTTACAAGATGCTGCAGAAATAGGCTTATTGCTACCAGAAAGCTACATCTGGTGCTCTTCCAAGAGAAGTCAATGGAACAACCACAAGCATATACACAATGAACCAGCTTCGTGTTTTCCCTGGTAGGCATTTTGCCCAGGTGCTCAGTTGGCTATGAGTATTAAAAGGAAGCTGATAGCTGTACTGTAACAGGAGAAAAAAAAGTCAGTCTTTTTTTTAAATTCAGCCTTTTTTTTTTTATTCGGGTTTTCTTGACTGTCCCTAAAGTTATGGCAAATTCCATAAATAACCACGTAGACAATAAATATGGGTATTTTGTTGCTATAACCTAGTATACACTCAGTTTTACAGCCAGTTGAGTACTTCAGCCAGGCCTCCAGTTACTCAGTGTTACAGGCAAAGCAATTACTGTGCTTCTATTTTGACATGTTGATTAATAGTCTGGACTCCAAAGTTAAATCTGACATTGTCAAATGGAGTGACTTACTTGGCTTGGACATAATTTTGAATTACTCAGAGACAGGATGCTTTCATCTGGCTGTTGCCTATGGTTAAAGCTTTCTCTTATTCTGCATGAGCTATTAATATTGTTCATTTTCCTGTACAGATTTCCCTGTATACTTGGAGCCCAACATTTTATGCTGTAGGCAGCTATAGAAGCGTTACCTTGAGCAATTCGATAATGCACGTTGAGAGCTGCAATTTAATTACTGCACACTTAGGAATAATTTCATATTCAGGCCTTACTTTTCATTTCTTGGCTTTTAGCTGTGTTGATAAGTTAGTGTATTATTTCAAAAGATACAGTTAGTGCAAGTGCTGACACATCAGCATAATAGCCGTCACATACTTAATGCTTCTCATTAGTTCCCCAGAGAGAAGGGAGCTGAATCAGGAACTTTGGAGTTTAGAACAGATGAGAAGTGATGGTTTCACAGCATACTGTAACATTTCCATAGTGCTGGGGCTCCTTCAAAGACATTAATGACTTGGTGTTGAAGATGGGTGGTGGTTGGTAGTGGGGAAGGGAGCTGGGACCCTAGAGGCACTTGATGGAGTACTTTCTGTCACTTTGATTGTCTACCAAAAATGATAGCAAAATACGTAATTCCAGTGTTGCATTTCTCAGTCTTTTACAGCTCTCTTTCCCCTTGCTCTCCGGGGACAGCAACAGGACCCGAGGGAATGGCATGGAGCTGGGATGGGAGGGTCAGGCTGGAGGTTATGGAAAGGTTCTGCACCCAGGGCACTGGGACAGGCTCCCCAGGGCCATTATCCCACTGCTCAACTTAAATTTTGCATTCTTATTGTTTCTTTAGTACTGCTTGTTCTCCTCCTATTGACCTGCAGCTTTTGCTTTAATTTCCTAGAAGAGCAGGTGATGTATAAACTCACCATTGAACTTGACTCTAAAAGGAACTTTACTTGTCCAGAGAAGGACAGTGGTCTCAACCAACAAATTACAAAAGAGATGCTGCTTTGTTATGTGTGAGTCCCACTGAGTGCACTGCTTTCTTCAAATAAAGAGAAAAGCATTATTGCTGTGTCAAAGAACTTGCACTTTCTACCCACCTCTATTAGGATATATATAATAATACAAATGGGCTGTCTGGAGACTTCAGTCCGAGGTGTACTTGAAATAAGTTGTCTATTTTGGTACTTCTAAGATCACCTGTGCACAGAGGTACCCCATCTGTTGTCCTTTTATCTCAGGTTTATATAATAGGGTTTTGCAAGGGTCTTACCTCGTTTATATAAAAATAAAATGCTGTCCCTCCCTGCTCTGACACTTCTTCATTTCCAGACTCATCCTTCAATAAGAGAATTATTTTTTTTCATGACATAAAACCCATGACAAGCCACCTATGGCCCATTTTCAGTTGCAGGTTTTCTTGTATACTGAAAGAACAACACTTTGTTCTGCAGTTCACCAAGCTGCATGAAGCAGTAGCCCGAAACCCTTTTTTATTTCTACTTTTTTTTTTAAACTAAATTTAATTAGGTTCAAGTACAGAACAAAATGGTGTGGGTTGGGGTGCCTTACCCCCATAGTCTTAAAACCAACTGGAGTCTGAACGTCTGTATTTTCTTCTTTAAGCCACAATCTGTCCTCAGATATTTCTTCGGACCATTGTCATTTTAATAATATACCTGAAATCGCGTGGTGAGTAACTTATTCAAAACAGTTCAACTCTTCCTTAAGTAATTCTGAGCCCCTCCCATGCACACTATTAGGAATAGTTAAGTTTTACTGTTATATTTTTTTTTTATTTTTTTTTTTACAGTGCAAGGAATTGGATGATTTGGGCAAAATGGTTGCAGTTCTATCGCTTGTTGGCTTCTTTGTGCAAGCTTGCAAAGCTTTTGTTTGCTTATAAAACTTGTGAAAAAATGACTGTGGGATGTTTGATTTTCTATACTAGAAATACTATAGTGTCATATTATAGTGTCTGAATTGGTAGCTGACAGCTGTGTGCTGTTGCCAATCAGTGCTGAACAGAGAAGCTCTTTGAAGAATGGCAACTCCAGGGTAATGGATGGAATGCTTAATAGCAAAAAAAGAGAATAATAATTAAAAAAAACTGATTTAGCGTGTTCTTAATTTTAGAACAACATCCTCCTTTTCTACTGTTCTGTATTTTTTCACCATTGAAAGTTGGCCTGATTGGTGCTGTGAAGTCTGCTTGTTTTACTGTAGAGACTATTCTTTGGCTGCATGTTTACAGGATTCTGAAATTTTAGACATCTTTTGATGCATTGCTCTATGTTATGCATAGTTCGAATACCACAGGCACTGTCACTTATATATTTTTTGGCATCACCAGCATCCTGCCTCTCATTAGTAGGGCCAGGGCTCCTTTATACTGTGCAGATCTATGACAAACTCTAGAATAACAAAATACTCCTGAGTATAATTCTCACTAACTCATGTGTAAATCCAGGACTGGTGAGTGACTTGAAGTTCAATATCCTCCAAAAACCTATATATGATGTGATAGTGGCCTTATACACAGGAGAGCTGGTAATCCTTTCTTCTCAAATGTATGAAATACCTATTCGTAGTGCTCTTGAGAGGAAAATAGCAGACCTTAAAGTATATAGTTTTTTTTCGGAAATACATGACATTTTCAATTTAAGCACTGTTTTCTCCATACAGGATCTATGCAGTGAATGTTACAACTAAGTTATCCTACTCTTTTGACAGGAATAGAGGGGTGAATATCTTTTTAAGCTAACCATAGTTTCTTCCCCAGCTCTGCAAAACCATCTGATTTGGATATGTGAAATTATAATGCAGAATAAAAACTTTGTTACTTAATCTCACAAAAAAATGATTCTATAATTCTTTTGTTCTCTCTAAATAATATAAAATGCAAATAAGTTAGTTGTAAACTTTTTTTTTTCCAGTGTAAGTGATGCTTTTTCTGTTGCATTTGGTACTTTATTCATAGACAGCTTCATTACAGTTGGCTGCAAATAAATGTGGCAGGGATAGTTGTGAGTGTATGAGAGCACTGACTGACCTATATTAGCAGAAGAAATATGTACTAGGTTATGATGCTTCTCTGCTACATACGTATCAGCCCCTCATGAATTTGCAGGCAGTGAAACTTTAGGTATCACATAGACTGCAGTGTTTCTCTGTGTGAATTTTTGTCACTTGAATTTCATTCAAATTATAAGTCTATGAAAGTGCTTTACTGAAGAATAAGCCTAGGTAGAACCTACACATTTTTCTTATAGTGAAATAGTTTTCACGCTTTTATAAATAAAACATGTTAATAAATAATCTTTGGCTTTATTTGTGCAATAATAATGTTGCAGGAATTTCAGCTTAAAGATAAAAACAAACCAGTCTTTATGTGATGTAGTATGTATTTTTCAGAACATGTAGTACAGCTGGAGAAGAGGAGGTAGTAACAGAGATTTTGGGGCCCATAATGCCTTTCATTTAACGTTAATGGAAACTGTTTCCCACATCAGAGGAAAATAATAGACAAAAATGCCTAATTTGTATAACACAATGTATATACCTGAATATCTTGCCAGCTATGCTTTCTTTTCACACTTAATTTCAATTCAGTTTCAGTTCATTAAAAGCATTCTGTAAAAATCAAGATTTATTTTTTTTACTTTTATATTATTATGGAAAAAAAAATAAAAAACAATTTATCTGAAAGTAGGAAACAATTTATGTTCATATAATAAACAATTTGCATTTATTGTATAAATTAATTTGTGTAACAAATTAGGATCATTATTTTCTTCTTTATAACCCACAGGAATTTAATAAAAAGGTGCAGAATGGAGACAGTTGTGCACATGTGGTGTTGCTTGATAAACACTAAATACAATAGAACTTCAAGTTAGTATTAAAATGTTATAGTACAACTCTATCACCCACTAGTTTGTGTTGTAGAGTAAGACACTTGTCAGAATGTGAGATATGTCTCATTATGTGAGAAGTCAGAATAAAAGCACAATTTTGATAATTGTTGTGCTGCAACTGCTTAATGTAATTCAAAGTACGATGAAAACTTTGATCTACTGTATTGTTGGCTAAGTAACACCCAGTGCTTTGTGGAAGGTGACGTTGACAGCAAGAACTTAAATTCATCAAAAGATCTGCATTTTTCCATCTGGTTAAATCTCCAAGTCCTGTGCCACCTTTCCTATAGATGGAGGATCAGATTCATTACTGGCTTTCAAAAAGCCTAATCTGTGTAAAGTAGTTGAAGGCTGCAAATGGAGGCTCAAAATTAGAGCTTGATCTCTTAAGACAGTGAGCATCTCTAGGTACTTAGCAGTTCCTTCTGTGACCGCTGTTTTTCAGCTTTCTATGCAGAAAGAAAAATTCAAAGAGCTGGAAAGAGAAGCAGTTAGCCTTTCAGAGACTGTGCTTGTGGTTCAGATTAATTATATTAAATAGCAGCATTATCTGTTACCCATGCAGATGTTTAGATGTTTTGTGGCCATAGAAATGCTTAGTTTTTGGAAAGCTTGTTATTCAGCCATCCTCTACTGTTTAGACACCCCTCCATGACATCCACTGAACTCTGTTCATGAGTCTTCTTCCTTGGAGTTAGATGATTGATTACTAAAAGCTTAGTAAAGTATTTTAAAATCAAGATGAGCTACTTAGCTTATGACTCTATCATCTCCTTTGGAAGACATTATTTGAAAAAGAATATATTAGGAAAGAAAATGCTAAAATTAAACAACATACAGGGATTGGATGTGGGCTACATGGTTACATTGTTTTTTTAAAAAATACATGCTTTTTGGCAACTAGAAAACAGCAAATAGTATTTGTTGGTTAAAATACAAATGTACATGCTAGCATGGTAAAGGCTGATTGAAAATGCACCAGTGCCTTCTGATAGGAGGTAGCCATTGATTTTTTTTTTTGATTTTTTTTTCAGGTATCCAGTTATGTAGCAGTAGTGGAAGCTGTCTGGTTGTTGGAGTATTATCCTTCCCAGATAGTACCACCAACAGCAAGAGTGAGGGCCAGGCTAAGGTGACTGTGGAAGTTTTGCAGGGACTTTGCTGGCCAAGTGTTCTTTACAAGTGAGGCTGAAGTGTGAGGCTGACTGTACTAACAAGGGCCCTCCCACTGTTCACTTTGGTTAATACTGAATGTGAAGGTTGGATTTTGAAACACATATCAGAATTTGTTTTGTGTTAGAATATAGTGAGAGATAAGAATGCTGGGTGTAAGCAGTCATCAGTTTGTGATTGAATGTAGCATCAGGCAAGAGTGAGAGAAGTCTGTAGTAAGCAGGATGATGGAGGCTTACAAAGAAAATCATATGCCAGCTGTGTTTTGCACAAGATGGTGTGAACTGATGGTAATACACTTCTAAATTAAAATCACATGATGAAAAATATCTATGGGAGATGTAAGAAATCTGTGAGCCTCATATCAATATTGCCTAAAATTAATATCTTATTTGAGAATTATTGTTAGTGCTTATAAGGACATTGCCTTCCTGAGGAGGTCAGTTTGAAATTCTAATTTATTATTTGTTTGTTTTACTTAAGGAATCAGCTGGAGGGGATATTCAGTCTCCTTTAACACCAGAAAGTATCAATGGGACAGATGACGAGAGAGCGACGCCGGAGGTGACACAGAATTCAGAACCAAGGGCTGAACCAACCCAGAACGCATTGCCATTTACCCATAGGTACAGATTCCATTCCCACATCCTAATCAAGTGATACCTGTCTCCTTCCTCGTTAAAGGGACCTTCTCCCGTGTTGTGGCTTCCACCTGGCACAGTTAAGAATTAAGTTACCTGATTTTTAATAAAATATAAAATACAGGACTGGCTTTCAGATTTGCAATATACTCTTTTTTTCACAAACCAAAACCACGTATGAGGAAATCTCTTGGAATGAGACTGGGGAGGCATTATTTTATAATTTTATCAGCTGAGTGCAATCATTTGAACACTCATTAGTGCAGGTGTCCCTTTAACAGGAAGCATTATTTCAATGTCTGAGATCTTAAAGTTAACCACTTCATAGAATATTCCAATTAAATTTATTTTTTCTGCACACTTTCTTTAAATGACTGATAGTATTGGATCAGCCTTTCAGTGACAAGTTGTTGGAAGAAAAGGGATTCTTACAATGCTTCTGGATTATACAATTTAAAGCAATCTTTAATTGAACAGTTCTGACAGTTGAAAACATTTTTCAACTTGTATTGAGAACAGAAGAGATGTGTAGTCCTGCTCCAGACTGAATTATTCATTGCACTAGGAAGCAACCTGATCCAGTGAGAGGTGTCCCTGCCCATGGCAGGGGGTTGGAACTGGATGACCTTTAAGTCCCCTCCAACCCAAACCATTCTGTGATTCTATGAATGCTGTACTTCATTGTTCTTTAAAAAAGAAGAACTTTTTATTTAAACAATGAGTTAAGATGGATGTATCTTGCTTGTTAAGTTATCATTAAGTGGGATACACTTAATAAAACACATTATGGACTGAGACCATGTAGAGTACTATAAATATTTGGTGAACTTAGAGCAAAACTAAGTATTCTACATTTATTTATGTTTAAATAACACGGTCTTATTGCAGCTTAAGTTGAGTTTAAGATCAGTATCTGGGGAACACTAGCACCTCAGATATATCATGCAAATAATTTGAAATGAGTAAAGATGGTATTGTTGAAGAGTTCTCATTTTATGTAAGAGAATAATGCTATTAAAGGTATCTGGAAAAAATAATCTACGTTTTCAAATGAGGAAAAATAGGATAATTTTGCACTAATTTTTTAGCAGAATGATTCTGTTTATTTTTATACTTCAGCTATTACCAGTGCATCTATCATATATTTTAGAAGAAATGGTGCTTTGTAAGAGTACTATGTGCATGTTGAAAGAGTATTACAAATGTTGCACATCTGTCAGTGTTCTGTAAAGAATCCGTTTAAACTTGTTACTTCTGCGTTGGAATTCTCAATATTTTTGTGAAAAGTAGTTGTGTTAAAGTCTACACACTAGAAATGTTTCTATGTTGTAGCTGCAAGATCTTCCCTATCTTTTTGTATACGTAAATGTGTTCTCTGGTATGCTAATGTAGTGACTACTTTGCTCTGCATTGAGCCTGACCGAAGATGTTTTTGAAACTGTCCAGTTGTAAGATGGGGTAGAATAGAGGTTATAAAATGTACATTCTTTGCATTTTTCTTTCATGTATGCAGAGTGAGTGCCTTTTTTTAGTTTATTGCCCTGTCATATACCACTAGCTAGAATAATTTTTATAAACAAAAATTTGTGTAGGCCACTGAAAAGCTCAACTGAGGCTTTTTATATACTGCTACTTAACTGAAAAGAAAATGCTTTTAAGTGCTTTCTCACGATTTTTTCTCATATAGAAGGCAAAGAAGCCTTTTATATGTGTGTGAGTGTCAAGGAACACTATCTCAACCAGAGGGAAGCTACCATTTAAAATCCTATATATTTCAGAAGTCTCCAGGTACTTCCCAGGCACCATAATGTTTTACAAGTTGATGTCTGAACTCTGTTTAGGAATGAGCTGCCTCAATTGGATTTAATTGTTAGCTGTAATGAAACTCTAATGAAGGCTCTCTAAAATGGCACTATATAACACATGCATGAAAGAGATGGAAGGTGGGGCCTCCAGGATTGTGTTAGCTGTGTCTAAGTGGGCATGTTTTTGAGAAGACATGATAATATTAAGTGGGCAACTAAGTAGAGATACTTGTGTTGGCTGGAAGAGTGCTCTCTGCAGGCAGTCTGCCTGTCCTTGATTTAAAAAGAAAAAAGGTAAACTAACCTTTACACTCTGATCATTTGCAACTCCTTGGGCTTTCCATGTGTCAGTGGTACAGAAAGGGATTGTAGCCCTCATGGTTTCCTGCCTTTTGCTGAAGCTGTGCGTTGGTGGCGCTCCACGTTTGACAGAGAAGTGTTGCCATGCTGAACCCTTTCCCTCTGCACCCTGTTGACTCCTGCTGATCAGTGAGCCTCCTACAACCTGTGTTTCAGCAAAAGGAAAGTTTAGGTAGTGCATCTGGGTGAGGAGGATAGTACTGGAAGGTGTGTGTCTAGTCTTGCGTGCAGCAACGCTATGTACATACTTACTTTTATTTCAGGAACTGGTCAGATGCTAAATGCTTTTCAGAAGAAAAGGTTGTACAGTAATCCCTCCAATGAGTTCAGCTGTAGGGGATGTGAGAATTACTGATGCTGGCTGTGCTTCACTTCTCCCGTGAATAGGAAAGCTATATTCTACTATGGCATGGCAGTACCTGCTCATCCAGTGAATGTCCTCAGCATAGGCTGGAGCATAGGAAAGGCACGTGTGGAGCCATTTGGCAGGAGCCTGGGCAGCCAAAGGGCAAAAGTTGAAGTTTTGTGGGCAGGACAAGGTGCTGTGGCACCACATTGTTGAGGTGGGAACCACATTGCTGCTGAGAGGGTCAGTGAGCACAGCTGAGTGCAGGCATCTCGGCAGTAGAGGATGGAAGTAAAAGGTTGACAGGGGTTGTTTATCAAAACAGTGATCTGGGGAAGGAGTTTATATGTTTTTGTGTGAACTGGAAGGGCCTGATAGGAGCTGACAAGGTCAGAAACCAGAAGTGTGGAGTTCATGTGTTAGTCTACATCTTGTCATTTTTAATCTGCATACTTGAAAAATGTTCAATTTCATTTTGTTATAACACAACCTCTCTGGACAGATACGGCGTCTTCTGCAAGCATTCTTCTCTGCACTTCGTATGTTCTGGTGTAGGTAGTTGAGCTTGTCTTGTTTCTGCAGCATAAATGTAGACTACTTCGGTATTTATAGTTATTTTTTGACCATTTATACCCAAAAGCTGAATAAAAGCATTATGCAAGTCACCAGAGTTTTGTTATTAGCACTTCAGTTTCCAATTATTTCAGTAAATAATTGCTAGTATTGAAATGAACTTTGACTAGTATATGTCCACAATTCCATTCATATCCCATGAGCATAACATAGCAAAAGTCAGTCTAGTTGCTTCAATTTATCCGTAACTGGGAAGTCCTAAAGCTCTTCACAAGCAGTGTGATTCTAGTCAGATGCTCGAGAGAGAAGGATATTAAACAGTCATCAGCCTTGCACAGAAAGATAAACTCTTGCAATTAAACCTCTTTTAAACCTTTTTTTTTTTTAACTAAATATGGTTAATGTTGAATTATGAAGTAATATCACTTGGGAACTTATTTTGATGTATAGCCTGAGCACTGCTGTCATTACTAAATGTTGCCAGAATAAATGAAAATAAAAAGCATAAACCTGACATTAGAATTTTAATAATCTTGACTGAGACACTGATCAGTCCTTTTCTGAACTGTGATTAGTCCAGGAATGCTTTTTTGTAACAAATGCTTGTTAATCAAATCTAATATTTAAAATATGACTGAAAAAGGTATAGATTTCCTTTCTTAACTAAATTGTAGTCTGCTTAGATATTGTTATTTTTTATTTCTTCCTTTTTCCCCTCAATATTTTGCATATTATTTAGTGATATTTTTTTTTAAACTGAAAAATAGGTTGGTCATAAAATGGACTTTGGAGAGAAAAAGATGCTAAAAAAATTTGTAACCACTTATGATGTGCCTGCACCTTGCTTTTAAATAAAAGTTTTAATCATGCTGGTGCACAGTACAGAATGCCTAGTCATCTGAATGAGCCTAAAGGAATACTATTCTAAGCTTATTCAGCCTTAGAATATAAGTCAAATACAAAAACTGAATAGTATGTAAATCTCCAACTGCTGCTTGGGATGTTTTGGTACCTGCTTGGTGAAATCTGCTTAGTGAAGTTGCTTTTACTCCCCCTTTGAAAAGAATACATTTGTTTGTAACAAGTTTTATTCCATTCTTGGTGCTTTAGAAAGCTGTGGGATAAAACATACTTTCAGAAAAAAAAACTTACTATAAGAGGATTCTTCTGGGATGAATCTTGAACGTCTTCAATTTTCTGTCAAGCATGACTTGATCCTGTTATGTCATTTTTTCATGTAATAAGCTGTTCCATCTAAACTTAATGAAACCTGGATTTTCTATAACAGTGTTTCGATTAGACAATATACATGTTTGTTGCTTGTTCGTTAAAATTCCTATTTTTGTATTCAAACAAGTTTTTAATATGAAATTTTGACTCATTGCCTTAGTGAAAATGGACTTATTTCAAATGATGTTTATATCTTAGATATGTTATTGTCTAGATAGCTTACTATTTAATAATGCTGCATGTAAATCCAATGCTGTAACAACAAAAAAGATAAGATCCTCCTAAGATCTTGCTGCTAGCTCATGTTCCTTAACTGAGTTTTCATTAAAAGTTGTATGCAGAAATCTGTTCAGTAGACTTTTCACTTTGCGTATCATAACCATGCACTTCTATAAGCTTAAAATATTTTAGTTACCTTACAGTAAAAGTACTTTGTGGATCATGTTGAATTAAGTTGGCATTGAAGACAAGTTTTGAGGTAATAAGTTTTTGTGCTGTTTTTTTTTTTTTTTTTTTTTTTCAATTTATAGTCAAATCCTAATGCTTGGATATTCCTTAGTGTTATATGTAGCTTTTTTACCAAATGGGGTGGGAGCATGCATAACTTTTTTAACTCTTGATTTTCAACGCTGTCTAAGCTGATTGTAGCATTAATTCATGTTGTGAGGAAC